ATTATTTTAGTATTATACAATATTATCATTATGTTACATAGCTTAAAATAATAAAATAGAAGACGGTTCACGGTTTATTAAAAAAAAAAAATGTTTCAAAATGTAACGTTTACTTAAAAATATAGTGAAACGACAAGTGTATAATATGTAGATAGTAAATGTGAATAGGCAAAATATGTATAAATAACAMATTTTTTGTTTTTCGATACATTTTATAATCCTCGGCGTGTTATCAAGAAAACGAATACTTAGGACCCCGTTATTGTTTATATAAATATATACTTAAGTGTGCTTCGACTGCGGATTCTTATTTATAATATTTACATAAATCAATAAATAACAGAAAATTAAAATGCGACAATTATTATAATAAATTCAACGACAGTATAACACAATATTTCTTAAATAACAATACTTATTATATTATATTAATTAAACGAACGCAAAGCAATGATCATCGTCACGGGACACGGGATAAAATCGAAAACGCCCCTTTGGCGAGCTTAAACATATTTCTTACCAGCTTTCTTTTTGATGGTTTCGATCTTCTCTTCCGTGTGGCGTACCGTCTGCGCCAGAACTTCTTCGGTCGTTTTCTTTCGGTTCCAGTCTGGAAAACTCGTTTCGGTCATGCCACGCTCCTGGAGTATACCCAACGCTTTTTTCGTCTTTTCCACCATGCTCAGTATACAGTTCAACATCTATATAATAATCCGACACACGCGTAATCGTATTAAACAAAACGGATATACAAWGATTATATATCATTTAATATATTATTATAATGTGAGATTCAGTGGCGTGCCCAGGAATTTCAATGACGGTTGGTAGGGGGGGGGGTGTAATAAGTAATAATTAAGGGTAGGTTAGGTCGCGTTAATAAAAAGGGGGGGATGTCATTTGAAAAACAAAAAATATTGTATAATCACGCAGGACACAATTTATGTAGTAAAAAAAGTTTGTCTCTTTTGAATACATTTAAAATTATTCTGAGTCAGAATTTGAATAATATTTCATTATTAAAGGTAAAACGTGGGTGAGCGTCCTTGGTAAATCACTCTGTATATTATACTTGACAGTTAACACGGCGACACACTCATATAGGTAGGAATTCGATGTTCCATTTTGTACATTATTGAAACTTGTTTACACGTTATATTGTTCGATAAAGTTTGAAACTCAAAGTTCTCACAATAACATTGTATAACAGTAAAGCTGTATTGAAACTCTTTATATAAGGTCCTATATATACTGAAAGAACCGCAAGTGTGTGGAACATATTGAACAGACAAAATAAGTTTTTAAATATTATTGTTCTTTTAACTGATTCGAAGACAGAGAAAGCAACATAAAATAGTGAACACCAGATTTAAAACATCTAACTGCTTATATTATAATTTTTCTAACAATTTTTATTGTTTCATATTTCGTGTTTTTATTTTATTATTTTATTTTTGTGGAGTGCTGAAGTATACTAGTATCATAAGTACCCACATTAGACGAGAGTTCTAATAGAAAGTGCATTTCAATCCCAAACTAYTGAAGATTAGTAATTAACAGTGGTATTAAAAAAAAAAAATTTTTATGTCGAATTAATTCTTTTCTAAATGAATACTATCAATAATTTCCAACATGAATAATGTTTTTGGGCTGTAGGTATATACTTTCTTTTGTTTCTGAGATTTTCATTGTCGTGGTGTCTTATTATTCTTATATTGACATAACCATACAAGATTCATATATTTTCAAAATAAAAAAAATATCGAATAGCGCGTATGGTTATTTTGTTCGGGTTTTAACTCAAGAATTTGATAATAAAATTAGTTTCAATAGTACTTGTGATCTAAAATAAGCCATTGTTTATGATAATATTATGGTATTTTTTAAAGATGGCCAACATTTATGACACATTATCAACTACAGCTGATTAAATCGTTATACACACCATAATAGCTACCGCTTAAAAGAATAAACTAATCAAAATTATGTATAGTTAATATTTATTATTGAATTATTTTGATTGTATATTAAACATTTGGTTTTTAGATTTATGTTCGTCTCATCTAATCCATTGTTAAACATGTGTTAGAAATTTACCAATACGGCGGTGGCGTGTCGATGGTGTATTTAATCAAATAAAAATAGAACACTAAAAGAGATAAGATCGGTGACGAAATAGTCTACCTAATCAAAAAGCGATTTAAAAATGGAAACCCGATGGGAAAAGACCATTTGGTCAGACCAAAAAAATGTGGATAGACAAAGTGAAAAAAAATTTTTTATTAAAGATTGGAATACGAGATGATGGAAAAACATTAGCACAGAATAGAGAAAAGTGGGAACAGGTATGTGTGGTGCGATAATGAGCCTCCTTGGCATTCGATGAAAACCGAAAAAGAAGAAGAAGAAGACGACGAAAACAATTAAAATTTTCAGTTTTAAGTAAAAACAAATGTTTGACAACGACATATTTTGGCACCCCCGTCATCCCCCTGCGGTGACCGATGCTGGAGGTATATACATAAAGAATATACTAAATCATAATATTACGCGACTACGCGCGGGACTTACCACGTGTATGTTCTTCCATTCGTCCTCTACGTGACCTTTGTGATCTTCCGTCTCGCGGATTTGGAGCAGTGGCAATATGTTGTACGGGTGCGACGGCGGCGGCGGCAGTGGAGGCGGCGGTGGAGGTTCTTGCGGTTGGAGGTGTGGCTGATGGTACATGAACGGCATGGCGTAACCGAGGTTCGACCGCTTGACGCATGGCTGCTGGTACTCCAGGTCGGCCGCGTAACCGGTCTCGTAGTAACCGTCGGCCAACGGGTACGGCCGCTTGTGGCCGTTTCCGCCGTTGTTGTTGCCGCCGTTATTGTTGATTACATTGTTATTGATGTTGTTGTTGTTGTTGTTTTCACGAGGCATCGGCGACGGCAGAGGAACATGCTCCACCTGGTGGAAGATCTCTGACGGTTCAGTGGCCTGCGAGTCCCTGTCCAAGTACGCGTTCTCGTGCTGCTTTAGGTATTGGCTTAACGTCTGCAACAACGTCGAATTGGGTATAGATAATTTTTTTGTGTT